TCACTTTGCTGATTGTCACGATAGAACGAGTCAGTGTAAACCATGATGTGACTTTCATGTAAGATTATGTAGTGACATCATGACATATCTGAAATTATGGGATCAAGTCTGTAGTTATTGTACCTAAGACAAATGTACCAATATCGAATTAGACTATAATTTTACGAAACCGTCTTTTGTTCTCAACACAATACATGCTATTTTCCACAGTGTTTCGACAGCCTGGACGTTGGCAATTGCTTTTTGTGCACTATCTAGCCATCAATTAGAGGCTTTCCGACGGAAACTAGACACAAACAATGCCCACAGACAAGAGAAACTGATGATCACGAATAGTGAAAACTGTAAATTGTTAGAACAAAATGTGCAAGCAAGTGCAAAAACAACCAATGTATTCAAAAGTAGCAAGAACAATACTTCTGGCAGATACTCTAATTGAAATACATTCAATCAGCGTAAAAACAGTAATATTGATGAGTGATACACTACCGAAACACTGAAATTAACTCAGCGAGGAAAAATATTTGAACGATAAAGTGTGCAACGAATCGAAGGCGTTGAGTTAGAAATGTTCAGCATAATTGGACGATCACTACCTGAAAATGTGTCACATGATGAAGTTTTCTTATCTGTCGTCATATTTTCATACATAGTTTCACGATTATCGAATATAAGTCGTGCTGAAGATTAATGTCTTTTTTCGAAGCTGAGAAAGCCTAAGGAATTTGAATTCTTGGTAACTGTTTAAGGAAGTTATACTAAACATTTTAACATTCTCAGAAAAACTAATTTCGCTTTCCTATGCAACTCTAAAAGAATTGCTACTAGATCATCTAGAGTGTACAAATTTCGAACGCGGTAAAGAAGAAAAACGTCACCGAATATAATGCGTACTCGAGGGTCTGCAGATAACATTTGATCGAGGAGTGTGTAGCAGGTCATGAAGATGAGCAAACGTTTGGTAAATGTTTATCTTGTGCCAAATTTCACTCATTTAATTCACATGTATTTCGTAATGCTAAGTGCTTTAAATGTGGTAAAATTGAACACAAACGGGTAGTTTGTAAAGCTACTATTCATTTCACTGCAAGTAATGCCAAACTTTGTGGTTCCCATCCTATTAAGTTCAGTGTTTCTAATGATCGTTTATTCCTCGGAGCAAGCCTCGAGAAGCTGTCCACCAAAGAGCAGACACTCAAATACGCACCCGATTTTTCTCGTATTTGCATTTGTAATGCTCTCACACCCGACGTGACTACAACCCCTTAGTAGATAGGTTTAATGGGAGTTTGGATGAATACGTACTCACTCATGGCTTATCATTTCTCTTTTGAACCAACTGTCCCTGATGCATGTCACGTAATTTACCAAGGTTAACACTAATCATAACCAGTAACCAGTTCCTATTTCTCTGATAATTCTCTCCGATTCCTTCTTATTCTATCGATTCCGTCTTCCTACACATTATCAAATACGTAAAAAAAGCACTTATTCTTGGAAAGAACATCTCTTATAATTTAAATCATCACTTTATTATTATCACACTGCGACAAGCCAACCTCTTACCTGGTAGTGTGAAAATTGCTGACGACCATAAGCATACCTGCCCTGAAACAAAACCACGTACTTAAATTAAAAGACAAGCATGTTCACAAGTAACAAAAAAACAAACTAAAATTAGTGTCGTTAGGTAGAATACCTGGAACAGTACCGAACAAGTGGGAAGTGTTAGCAAAGAAATCAGTAGGATTATACAAGCTCGTGACAAAGATATTGAAGATATATTGAAGATAACAGAACTTTTCAGTTCTTGTTTATTTGAGTGAGCAGTTAACACGAGCAGCGTAACATCATCAGTTCTTCTGATGGATTATCAATCTTCTTTGAGAAATTTACTGTGTGGTTCCAAAGAATTTGTGACTGAGTGGCGCAAGGACTTGGAATACATGTTAGTTGAAGAGCCTTGGGATTCGGAGTTTTCCTGGGAGCTTTACTGTGTCCTTCATCGTTCCACAATCAGCAAAAATGTGTCACGACTCCTTCATTCACATGTCGTCTGGCCTGAAATTCAATCTTGCTAAATACCACGTCATATACCTACACGCTCGCACGACGTAGTAGACACGTTTGAAATCGTCGCTTCCAAATGTCTTGACAAAACTTAACCTAGGTATATTTCAAGTACAATGGTCAACCCTCACCTTTCGTTGCACCGATGAAGTAAATAGGGCCTATGCTATTGTTCAACTTTTTCATGAACAGCTCAAATTGACCATCTCTCAGCTGCTCTTAGAATAGTTTAAAATGCAAGTGCTGTCTCACTCTGCAAATCTATTCTCGTTGTCTCCATTACTGGGATAAAAGACATGAGTATTTGGAAGCAAGTGACGAGAAACGCTATGCAAATTGGTACTGGCTTATGAAACAAAGCTTATGGGGACAGAAGTAGAATGAATTCATTTGTGATTACAAATCAGTTTATATTGGTCCAAGTAAGGCCAGATGTTCAAGTCAGTAGACTGTTTCAAAAGGATGCGAGATAACCATAAGGAAACAACACTGCTTATCGCCTGAAAAGACAGATGCGGAAATTTCATGTAATCTTCACTGATCCCAGCAATACCATATTGCTGTGAGACAATGGAGTAAAATGGAAACATTAAACACATTAATATTCACAACTTGAAATAGTGCAGCTTAGTGGCTAAAATAAACTTCTTTTGACACAGTTAAAAATTTGAGACAGCCTGAAGATCCAGGGGTATAGAAATCAGGTAGTTCAAACCATGTAGCTCTAAAGTTATTGGATAGTCCAAGCCGTTTTGTCCTACCGAAGGTCGTGACCAGGTGTGTATACGCGCCTTTTATGTAATTCCACATTTTTCAATTAGAAGACTTTCTGAGTTAATATAATGGAGCCGAATGTCTAACACCACTTTTTTCAAGAGACTACAGATTTTTCCAGCTAAATATTAACGTTTAATCCATGGCATTCGCACTGTTTTCACACTAGATATATGCATATATCGCGATCCCCCTTTTTTGAAATAAATTTCGTCCGTTTTGGGTGGATTTTGGGGAAGCCGCAATGAAAAATTCAGGGAAGTTTTATGGAAATGTTACAAAACCCCAAGATTTTCCCAGGTTTGGGGAAAGTCCCTAAAGTTTTCGAGAAATATCTCTCCAGAATTTTATAACACTGGGGTTTTTCCCCAAACTTTGTGAAAAACTGCCAACCTTCTTTCGGATTTGTGGAAAATCTCGAATTTTATTCAGAATCGGGGGATCGGGACCTACTGTCATCTCATTCTCTCTGTTTTGGGGGATTTTCGGGCTTTTCCCCAATATCCAATAACACTTAGCAGCTTTCCCCAAATTTTGGGGAAATTTCTTCGAACCTGGGGAAGCTTTTGGAGTTTTTGTGTCGTTTACCCAAAATTCTTCATAGTGACTTCCACAAAATGGATAAACTTTTCACCAAAATATGGAGATTGGGATTTAGATACAATACACATGAAGTTAATATTTACAACCTAGCTAGTTGTGACTGTTGATTATCATATAGTAATCTATATATAAATATATCCATGATAGATTTGACTTAATGTAATTATGTACGATATATGAACATATGATATCAGATATCTGATGTCATACATCTCGAATTCGAGGTGTGGTGGAACTGTATGCTAACGCTAACTCAAGCTGACGACATAGTTTATTTGAAAGCACCTTCATTTAAGCGTGGTTTAAAATCCGTATCTATCCACTGAGTCTTCTATCACTTCCATCATGCTTCACCACCCTATGTAAATCATTCGAACAGCTTAGTCAATAGCATATGTTGTTGACATTGTGACCTTTTTCATTTCCAGTAACATTCCGGAGATTTTATTTTTAGTCTTTAGTCGAAACTTTCGCCTTTGAAATCCTTTGTCTGATTTCTTATAGCCAATGACTCGAAGTGGCCAGGATATTGCTGTAAATTTTAACTTCTACATCAGCCCTGTGCATCTCTTTGTAATCAAAACATTCAATCTTATTTCGAACTTTGATCTTTGAATGTAAAGGTCCAAATTTGTGTACAAGGCTTACAAATACGAGGAAGTAATAAGCACTGTGATTTTTTAAAACGAATTTTGTTCATTCCATTGGTTTTTCTTGACCTGTGTATTTCTTACACCGACTAACCTAAATTCACGGATTTAATTCCTATCACAATGTTCCCACTTTCATTCTTACTTGTGCCGCCTTTCATCAAAGCTGTTTTACATTGTTATGACCGAAAGGTATCACACAGTTTGATCAGCTGCTCTGTACCCCTAATTAAATTCTCCTGTGTATAAACATAAACTTAGTTTCTTAAACATGTTTTCTGTAAAACTGTATCTATATATTTTCTAATGGCTTTACAGAATAGATCTAGGATGTCATTCACTGATAGTTAACGTTATAGTTCAGTCAACTAGGAGTATATATATATATATATATATATATATATATATATATATATATATATATATATACGTGCAGGTTTTACGTTGTAACTTACTGAGTGACTTTCTAGTGTCACGTATTAAATTATTCCACATCAGTCGGTAAAATGTCCGCATGCATCTGATTCTTCTCTATGCTAATATAATAGGCACTAGCAAATAATTTATAAAGGTGACCGTGTTTTGAGAACTTTTGCTTTTGAATCCCACACTATGGGTGTTCTGTATCTGGTAACTAGCTTTCTGGATCCAAAGTAGATAATTAAAGTACTGTAATATTCGTTCTCGGGGTTCAGAGATATATAAACTTGTAAGCCTTTATGCATCGTATACAGTTTGAACAGTGAGATGCTTAATTCTTTAGGACGACTCAATTAATGTAACTCTTTTACCAAACATAGTTCGTTGTGTTCGACCGCACATTTTTGATTTACTTGTAACTGACTATCTTATCATATATATATATATATATATATATATATATATATATATATATTCTGGCATTTATATGGTACGTTTTATTTATTTAAACACATAAAGATTGATACAGGGAAGCACCAAATATATATGCGCCACACAAATCGAACGGTTTGTGTGAGGGCTAAAATAATCCCCGGATGTCTAAACCGAAGCAGGGAGAGTGAGAATGTAACTCAATAAATAAATGTTCTATCGTTTACTAACTCCAACTATACCTACCAAATTGGAGAGAATTTGATAATAATAATAATAATGTCAGAGTAATAATTGAGCTGAAACAAACTATGCATTATCTCAGACAAACAACTGTGCTATCGATAAAAATGCTGGCCATATATACACTGAAAAAGTCAAGAATGTACTACTGCCGAATAACATAACACGGAAAAATTGAATCACATTTTTACGTATTGGGTGTTCTCTATCTCATCAAATCCCCATTGCTATGTATTTAATGCCCCCTTGTAGTAATGATTGTGTTCAAATAAGTAAAATAATTCCATTATATCGTTCGTGCTGTTTTCTTAATCCTTGTTTCTTTAATCAGAATTGTGCATTCATGACGGGAACAGTGGAAGCTGGGAGTAATGAGTCGGATGAGTCTGTTGAGGCATGGTGGGAGAGATTTTTAAAGCAAAAGCTTGCTGATGATGAGTTAGATGTAGAGCTCCGGTCTGCATGGGAGAACTGTGTTCAGAGACGAGCTAAATTTGCTCAAGAAGTCAAACGAATAATGGAGTTATATCAACCAATAGAGAAGTTACTTAACTCTACACTTAAATCCGATCGTGAACAACGAGGTCAAAGTCTCTATAGAGAATGGGGTAATACTGTTAAAACTCAATTTTGTATTTATTTTTCGTGTGCACCCTGACTATATATATGCAACAGAAAACAATCAATATAAAAGTTCTGAGTCTACCATAGTATATATATTCAGATCATTAATCTATTTGTAGTAAGATAACTTCATGTCGATGAACAACGGGGAATGTGCCCAAACGTTACAATGTTGTGGCTTATTGACTTGAAAAATTGCCTTTTAGTCATTTGGTTTCTAGCTTAAAACCTTTTATATCCATCTTGATCTGGCGTTACAGGTTCTATTTTTAATAGCAGTCAATTTTAGAGTTCATAAAAGCAAAGTAATGCATAAAATTACCTTTTCTGGCCAAATTAATGTTGTTACTACCGTAAAGGGGATTTAGGCTTGTGTATATTACCATGGCTTTTGTTGCACGGAGAAGTCATACCATCCTCCTTTCAATATTACAAACTACCTATGACTTACTATATTTTACATTTCCCAATGGTTCACTATCTAGAGTAAACATAATTGAAAATTCTTTTATTGGTATAAAACGCGTACCGTGTGGACTTTTTACTGGTTGACTAAACGTTATTTATGCAATCAGTATATAATTGCTCAATAAGATAGTGTCGCCTATACACTGGACGTCAGACGCTTTACTGACCAGGCCACTTCCACGAGGAGAGCCGTGTCATGATAATCATAATTTAAGCTGACATTTGTTGCTATCTAACTAATTAACTGTTAAAAGTAATCGAATAACGGGTGATCCTACCCAAAATCCACTGTTATTATTTATGTGAACATATAAATATTGGTACAAAGGGGCACCGAATACATATGCACCACACAAGTTACTTGATTTGTGTGTGGGCTATGATACTGCCCTGGAGTTCAGACCGAAGCACGTGGTTTTCTTAGAGAGCACACCCTGAGCCTTTGATCTAAAGGTCTAATCCACAAGGCAGTGGAGCAGCGTCAGTAAATGCAGTCCCATGGTAACCGGTGACCAATAGTTCGTTCATACGTCATTTGTTTCCTTAGGATCCTGGAGCCCATGTGCATCATTAGTTTGGAATGAGGGTTTTCCAACTCCCCTAGGTGAACTCTATGTGTCCACCAACCCGGTTAAAGCGCCAGACATTCGGTTTTCGTCCTCTCAATTTCGTAGACAGTGATGTCGCTTGAAGGCAGTGAGTAGAACTTCCCTGGCAGAGGCCATATACGCGTGTCGATTTGAGAGCATTTGGAGGGGGAGAGCGAACTTTCCTCACTCTCGGCCATACCAGGGCATTTGGGAGTAGATTATGTTATGTTTAGTCTCTAATTGATACAAATCCTACAAATAAAACTTTATTAACTGTTATACTTCTCTATCTTCTTGTTTCATATAGTTCTATAAATTGGTTAAATCTCTAGGATCCTTCGTTTTTTTATTTTACCAGGTAAAATACGTCGTAAAGAATGCCTTCTAGCTTATTATGATAACGATACATTTCGTGCCACTTACACTCGACAACGTTATATAAATAGTTCTACAAGTTTCCTTCAGGTAAAAGAAACTTAAATATATCTTTATTTTCAAAAAAAAAGATGAAAAAAATGTGATTTTCCTTTATATCAACTATCTATCCATTAATTTTTAAAGGTACAATCTTTTTAAATGAGGGCTTTTTTGTTTATTTTTATGAACATTGTGGTTTTTGTTGCAGTGAACTAAGGATTTAAGAAAACCAGCAGACTTATACATGCAGTAGTTAGGTACTTTTTAGTTCCGTAAAGCTGTAGTGAATCAATCATTTCTAAGTAAACCTTTAATAAGATCATCAGGAATCTATTGTTAGCATAATACTTATGTTGAAAGTTACACATATCTACTTAATATGACATGTCAACATTCATAAGATATCATTGAAGTTGTTAAAAGTAAAGATAATAAACAATCTATTATTGTTTATAAATGTTTCGTGTATCATGTATACAAGTATGATGATACATATGTATGTAATATCAATAATATTGGTAACATCTATTGTCGTATCGTTTATAGCTTCATTCCATTTGTTAGTTTTCAAAAAGTGAAATATTCAAGGGAAGTTGTTGTTTGCGACTACTGTACACAAGGGTTATGGATATATTTCAAACAACCACTGAGTGTTGCTAATACAGGATCTTGGATTCAAAGTTTGTCCTCCTTTACTCTATCAAGGCTTACATTACTGATCTGTTTACGTCATTAGAATAAGTGTATCAAGGCTGGAATCTAGAACGTAGAGGAGGTAGGAGTTGAATATTTACACATAATCATATGTGCATTAATAAATGTATTCATTGTTTTTCATCAATGAGTTCGATTTCGTTCTTTCATTTTTACGCTTTAGGCTTTAGTTTATCGAATTATACCGGAAAATCCAGACGTTGAAGTTTATTTACGGGATCATGTTAGTCGTATTATTAGTATTGGTGTTGGTCCCGGGCCAGATATAGCTGCTTATTTGGCATATGCACGTTGTCGTGGTTTCACTCAACGTATTGTTTATTTTGCCATTGATCAATGTGCTGGATGGGGCAATTATCTAGCTGCTTTTGATCGTCAGTGGTCATCTGAATATCAAGTGTCTGTTTGGTTCAAAAGTTCACGTTTTAATAATCGGGATGATGTAGAGACACTACCAGATGCAGACATGGTAGTATTTAGTTTTGCTAATACAGCTCTTATGGCTAGTACTATTTGGCCGTTGTTACAACAGCGTTATCGATTCATCATTGTTTTAGATGGAATTAAGGAGGTGAGTAAAAGTACAAAATCTGTTTCTAATTATTTTGATTGTTTGGTTAAATGATTTATGGAGAATAATTTCGAGATGTATTAACATATGGATGGGGAACTTAGCTTTTGAGAATAGAGGATATTACTATTTGATTATCGATGTTTTAGAAGCATTGCTCGCATATGTTGGGACCATCAATTAATCACTCCTGAGGTTAGATCCAGGATACTAGGTAAAGGTGGCAGACGGTTTAGCGAGGTAGTAAATCCTCATCGATTGAAGGGGTTGGGTCATTTATAATGTTTGCCTAAACACAACTTACCAGGACACATGATGGTCACTTGCCCAAGCATAGACTGAAAAAAGGGGCGGCCAAACTAAGAAGTGGTGTCATGGCCTAGGTTACCTGATTGGGTTCCGCGTGTTTATCGTAAGCAGTGGTTGGAGATCCCGACCGTAGCTGCTACCTTGACGCGGTGGTCGGGCTTGCCTATCGTGATGACCCAGCCGAGCTATATTGGCTGGAACATATGTTCCTGCAGGTTTTACCATGCCAGGCAGGTCGATTGGAGAACGGTAAGACTAAAAACAGCAACTCAAGGTCTGAGGGCGAAGTCGTACTGCTGACTGTAGAGGGGTTTGACAGCAATAAGGTGTTTCCCTCGGACAACCAGCATCTACAGCGATGCTGCCTTCTCACAAAGAAGGAAGGGCTTAGAAAAGGTTGACCCTAACAGTGTCACACCTCACTTTACCTCACGGATTTCCGTCTCCGGCGGTAAGGCCCTTTGAAGAACAGAGCTAACCAGTTAAAAACCTCCCACAAAAAGGTCGTGCGCGACCGGCCTCAAACAGTTTTCCCTTGGGCTCTGCGGTCACGCTCCCAGGTCGTTAAGGCCAACATTAATCCAACTTCCTTTTCAGGCTCCTCGAGAAATACCCTTCCACGGTGTGGGCAGCCGGGAATTGACATCAGCCCTCATACCCGTAACAGCACACGAGACCAAGTTGGTCACATTCGAATCCTTCCTACACCTCTTAATACCTCTCTTATCTCCATGACTAACCCTTCTCACGTCCCTTTATCACCTCGCACCGCTAGGGCAAACGATTCGAGTACGTGGAACGTTATTCCTGGTCTCCTGAAACCACTCTCTAAACTACACGTAGGAGCGTATAACGTCCGAACACTCTGCCAAATAGGACAGCAGGCTTCCTTAGCTAGGACTTTAGAATCTCGCGCCATCGATGTGTGCTGCGTCTCCGAAACGCGCATACAGTGTCCGAGTAGCGTCATTCATTTGACCTCACCATGTCAAAACAAAGAACCAACTCGATTCACACTCCGTGTGTCTGGAAGCCCTGATGCTGCTTTTCGTGGCTCGCCGGCGTAGGTATATCATTGAGTCCTAGGGCAGAACTAGCTCTCTTAGAGTGGATCCCAGTAGACAGTCGTTTGTGCGCTGTCCGACTAAACGGAACAATAAGGACTCGGAAAGATAAGGATACTCGTCGTTGCCTCTTCGTCGTCTCTGCCTATTCTCCCACTGACTGCAGCTCAGATGATGTAAAAGATGAATTTTACAGAAAGCTATCCCACCTGCTCCGAAAAGCTAGGCGCTCTGATGTAGTAATAGTGGCTGGTCACTTTAATGCTCAAGTAGGTAAACTAAGCGATAGGGAAAGAAACCTAGGTGGATCTTAGGGTGTCGTGGCTCAACAAAAAGACAATGGCGACCGTCTGTTGCAAATATGCTCAGATAACCGCCTGTTCCTTGCAAATACTAACTTTAAGCATAAGGAAAAACATCTTTTAACATGGCGACCCCCTAATTCGTCCCAACGTTGGACCTAAATAGATCACATCGCTATCAGCCACCGATGAAGGGGTTCGATAGAAGACTGTCGCTCATTCTGGAGCACATGCTTAGATTCAGATCATCCTCTAGTGCGAGCGCATGCCCGTCTGCGTCTTACTGGACGTAGGAAAGACGCTGCAAGGAAACCTCTTAGGGCCCTACTTAATGTTAGTCAAGCTAAGAGTATATTTCAGGAACAACTAGGAAAACAGTTAGGCAGCCATGTATGCGATGCCCACCCCAAGGCAGCATGGAATGATATCCGAAAAGGTGTGGAAACAGCAGTGATATCTGCTAGTAAGGTAAGGTAACCCGTGGGTTTAGGGAGCAACACTGGATCTCAGCAGCATCCACCACACTGATAGATGCGCGAAAACTCATTCCACCTGGCTCTGAACATAATGAAGAGCGGAGTCAGCTTAAGCGCCACCTGACAAGAAGTCTACGCAATGATCGTGAACAGTGGTGGGTAGCGAAAGCAAGACAGATGGAAAAGGCAGCAGCAATAGGTAATAGCAGACAATTGTTCAGACTCGTTAAGGAAACCGGAATTAGGAACCCGATTGTTAGCGAAACTGTCCCAGAGAAAGATGGACATATACATTCTCAATCCAGGAGATTGGATCGATGGGCAGAACACTTCATGGATCAATTCAACTGGCCTTCAGCCACACTTCGGTTTCCCACGATTTCCAGTCGACCTAAATGGCAAGTTAATGTAGGTCCTCCGACTCTTTTCGAAGTTGTGACAATCACGGAGGAATCAGTTTGACTAATATAGTGTCTAAAATATTAGCTTCAATAATACTTCGACGCCTAACTAAAGCTCGTGAGGAGCAGATTAGAGAAAACCAGGCTGGTTTTCGACACGGACGTGGTTGTATAGACCAGATATTCACACTACGTCAGGTTCTAGAACACAGACACACATTCAGACGCCCCACAATGGTAGTATTTCTCGACCTTAAGGCAGCATTCGACTCTGTTGATCGTGAGGTTCTATAGCAGTGTTTGTCACTGAAAGGAGTACCAAAGAAGTGCATTAACCTTATAAAGGCTCTCTACTCGACCATAACTGGTCGAGTGAGAACTTATGGCGAACTGTCATCAGAATTGATTACCTCAAGTGGTGTTCGTCAGGGTTGTCCACTCTCTCCATTCTTGTTCAACTTTGTCGTCGATGTACTTTTAGAGATAACACTTTCCTCGCCTAGATGCAGAGTCTTCTGACTACTCTAAGCAACAATGCAAGCATGTTCGGGATGCGATTCTCCCCCTCGAAATGCAAAATGTTGCTTCACGATTGGGTTGCATTAACACCCGAACTAATGATAGAGAGTGAAGAAATTGAGCATGTCGACTGCTTCACTTATCTTAGGAGTCTCGTCAACTCTTGTGGTCTGGTGTGTGACGAAATCTCAGCACGGTTACAGAAGGCTCGTCTAACTTTTGCCAACTTGCGTCATTTATGCAATAGGCGAGATATCCGTCTATCAACCAAAGGACGGGTTTACTGCGCAGCAGTTCGTTCCGTCCTACTTTGTGGCAGTGAAACGTGGCCGGTAAGAGTAGAGGATATTCGTAGGTTACTAGTATTCGATCATAGGTGTCTTCGAAACATTGCTCGTACATCATGGGACCATCGAGTAAGTAATGCAGTTGTTAGGGAACGGGTACTAGGTAAGGATGGCGAATCGATTGATGAAGTGATGAAACTTCATGAGTTGAGATGACTGGGACACGTGTTACGTATGCCCAACCACCGACTGCCTCGACGTGCTATGTTCAGTGGTATAGGAGTAGGTTGGAAGAAAGTTAGGAGCGGCCAGACCAAAACATGGCACAAGTTCATGAAGTCACTGACAAGTGGACTGAGTCATGTTGGTAGGTGTAGACTACGTGGTTGGGGACTGCGAGATGATAGCAACCGATGGTTAGAGACCTTGAATGACATGGCTCAAAATCGTTTGCAATGGCACGGGTGCATCCACTCTTTGTGTTCTCTCAAGTTCTAATCTTCTGAATATCGTACCTCCCTTTTTTTCTCTTTCAAAATTTATTTCACTGGACTGTACTCTTTAAATAACATCTTCAAACCCTAATCTTTCCGATTACTGCTTATACTCTTACCACCTCTGCCACTACAGGATTTGAATGGACAACCGCATCTCTGTGCTAATGTGGTGTGGCAACCCGAACTGATGTACGTACGTACGAATTTCTACGTTGTTAACGACTGACTTAGGGGTTGGAGATGTTATGTGACATTTCTTATGATTGGTCTCATTTGTGCAAGTGTTATTACTTTTCATGTTCTTTTAGATCTTGAGTTTTTAAAACCATCTCGTGTTTTTTATTCCTTTAATGCATTCCTTCCTGAATCCTATTGTCTAGGCCTAATGTATTTTACTACCACTGATACTGTTACTACATCTTCTACTCTTACATTTATCTTGATAATTTCATCTCTTGGTAATTTGATCAGGTGCATATATGTTCCTAGTTATATATTGCTGATGACCAACTGACTCAACTCACGAATTATTGAAATCACTCAATAACACCCTTTCGTGACCCCCTTTCTCGCCACCGTCGGAATTTCCCAGTTACTGTTTCTTATTAAAATTGTTGTAAATTCATCCTGATGGCTGTCGTTGGTACTCATTCGATCCTTATTTTGATTGAATAGTTAATGAGGAGCTTTCGAGTCAGTTAACCGTCGATAATGTTGAATGATTTTCAGGTTATATCACAGATTGAAAGTTTGAATTCGTATTGTAATATCTCGCAATATGTAAGATCATTAAAGGTTTAAGCTTTTTTTATTACCAACAAATACCCTTAATTCCTCATCCTCACATTTTATTGATTTTTTGTAAGATACCATGTCGATATTATTAGCTTATGTGATAATTTCTACAGTTTAATATATTTTTTTCGGGGCGGGGGTGATGGTGGCATCTGATTATCATCATTACCAATATACAATTTCTGCATTCTGTTTTCTTTCTTTTTAAGGTGGTTGTTGATAGTTTCTTGAATGCTGGATTTAAAGATATTACTCTCACTGAACGAACAAAAGTGTATTATCATTTTAATGGGATCCTTCCACTTGAATCATCTACAACATTAGATCATGTACTATGCAGTTAAATTGTATTCTTCCTTCTATTTTTTTCCTACAATTTCTCATTGCTTTTATACACATTATTTTGTATGATAGTTTTGAACAAAACAACGTTTATCATCTTCGAGATATTGAAATCTTAACTATAGTCAATATTTTGCATAAAACAGAGACTGGGGTACACATCTATATTATGATTCATAACTTTATGTATATATAAGTGTAGAGGGTTTGAGAAGATTGCTTGATTTTTCGCTTCATACCACAAAACAACTTTTAGCTTGGTAACCATTTAAGGCTTAAAAGCTCTACTCAACTGTTTCATCTTAGTGTATTACTCTTCGGCAGTACGGAGGTTCGAACCCAAGACCTTAAGGAAATTGTTACAAGCATTCAAATATTAAACTAATGAGTTGGTATCCAGGGGGTTGCAAGCTTAACTTTAATCACTTCACGGTGTTAAATAATAACTGTGCAATGTCATTGTGGAAATCTACCTTACACCAGGAATAATTGAAATTCACAGCTTAAACAAATAAATCAGTGAACGCCGGTTCGCTTGTCTAAATGTTGTCCACCTGAATGCCTGAAAGTCCTGGGATGTCGTGGATACACACTACTGAGTAGTCCCATACTAGGACATAGTTGTTTTTGACAATCATTTAGCTAAGATCAGTTCGTGATGAAAACTATAAAAACATTTTAAATAAAGTGTCCTGTCTTAGTCTGAACACTTAAGGCTCTACTTAGAGTTGTGTTATACTAGGATTGATTAAAGTTGGATACGTAGACCTATTTCAATCAACTCAGATGGTTTCATGAGTTTCACTAGGCATGAAGGTTTTAATAATGAACTATGTGATATTAGCATTGACTATTGATGAGGTTTTCCAGGTTAGGACGAAACATCGGTCGTATCTTTCCTTCTTTCTACATGGTTCTCAAACCGATGTAAGTTTATGATAGAAATTACTTTAGAATAATAAAACTACACACAAAGGAGAAGAAATTTTCTCAATTAACTATAGAGTTATTATGATGTAAGATTTGTAAGTGTGAGTATATGTAATTCATATCTGTTCAGATGATTTTGTGTTAGCTAATATGTATATAATCAAAAAGGGGTTTTGTCGATATTATAGTAATTTAATAGTTGAGTTCAAGGGTCAATTGAAGCTAGAACATTATGGAAAACCTGGAAGCATTGGATGACCGGCTCAGCGGTTTGGAGGTCAAGCGTTCGCGAAGCCGATAGGCGGTGGGTTCGAAACCCGCGGGCGGGTTTTGTTATTATTCATTTATTTGAACACAAACATTGGTACAAGGGGGCACCATATACATATGCGCTACATAGATCTCATTTGATTTTTGTGAGGGCTGTGATACTGCATGGGTGCCCAAACCGGAGCACGTGGTTTTTTCAGGGAGCATACCCGGAGCCTTTGATCTAAAGGTCTAATCCACAAGGTAGTGGAGCAACGTCAGTAAACGTGTAGTGAAGAATATAGGTGGGGAACAACCAAATTGTGTCTAACACAAAATTACAGAGTTACTTGACAAAATAGAAAAACCATATAGTAAATCGTTAATTTGCAAAATATTAATCCATCATATCAACCCGGACTGTTCCTATTGCAAACATCAATCCATTGTCTGACGTTTCATTGTTCATGCGTTTTCATACAAATTGCATTGTGTTCTCGCTCTTCCTTTCTTGATCTTCCTCCATATTCTGCTGCTAGACATTACGTTTCTGACTCGCGTCATATACTACTTATATCAATATACGTAGCACACACCACAGATGCAGTCCCATGGTAGCCAGTCACCAATGATTCCTTCATACGCTATTTGTTTCCTTAGGATCCTGGAGCCTATGTGCACCATTGGTTTAGAATCAGGGTTTTCCAATTCCCCTAGGTGGACTCTGTGTGTCTATCAACCCGGTTAAAGCGCCAGACATTCGGTTTTCGTCCTCTCAATTTCGTAAACAACGGTGATGTCGCCTGAAGGCATTGAGTAGGACTTCCCTGTATGTCAGCGGCAGTATGCACGTGGCCATGTGAGAGCATTTGGAGAGGGATAGCTGACTTCCTCACACTCTCGACCGTACCAGGGCATTTGAGGACACTGCTGAGGAGTCCCATACTAGGAAGAAACGTTCATCCAGTGCTTCCAGGTTTTCCATGATGATCTAGCTTCAGTTAACTTATGAATTCAACTATTAAATTAATATGTTCGTAAAAAGTATGTAAGAGTCATTAAACGGATCATTTTTTAAAACTCAAACTGTGATTATAAGTAAAAAATAAAGAATTTAAGCGCAATTTTCGATTATTTTAATTCAATAGATGGTCAGATTAAAACTAGTTTTTTTGGAAGGTATAGTTGATCAATGAACCGACTGAATGTATCTTTGATTTATTTTCACATTGTTTATATGAGTTAGACGCAGGGTATTAGGGAATGATGGTAAATCAGTTGATGAGGTTATGAATCTTCATCGACTGAGATGGTTGGGCCACGTGTTACGTATGCCTGAACACCGATTACCACGACGTGCAATGCTATCCGGTATTGGAGATGGTTGGAAGAAAGTTAGGGGCGGCCAAACCAAAACGTGGCATCAGTGCTTGAAGACACTAACTTCTAGTCTGATCCATGTTGGTAGATGCAGACTACTTGGTTGGGGTCCGCGTGACTATCGTAACCAATGGTTGGAGACTCTTGGTGACATGGCTCAGAATCGTTCACAATGGCGTCGGTGTATACACTCCCTGTCTTCCCTTAAACTAAGAGATTAAAATCACTTCATATCTTTCTTTCTACGAACCAATTCTTTCTTCTTGTATTATATCTCTATAGGCAATCTTTCTCTTATATATTACCACCTTTGACCTAACCACTACTGTGAATCCGGTGTTCATCTTGTTGTGCTGATGCGGTATGGCAACTTGGACCGATGCACATATGTGCCTGGTCCTACGTTGTAGCTGACTGACTGAGTTAGTTATGTACTATTCCTCTGAATTGAAGTATCCTTAATTTGTATCAAGACATTTCAATATTACAGTATTTATCCGATGTGAAGAGGGAAACAAGAAGCTCTGACAAACTACGAAAGCTATTGTTTGGGACGTTATTTCATTTTATGTAAAGCTTGTAAAACACTAACATTTATTTTCACAGATTGAACTCATGAGTCAGTTGAAGCTAGACCACCATTGAAAACCTGGAAGCACTGGACGGCCGTTTCGTCCTAGTATGGGACTCCTCAGCAGTGCGCATCCACGACCCCGCACCACCCGGGGCTCGAACCCAGGACCTACTGGCTTCGCGCGCGAGCACTTAGCCATTAGTCCCTAATTTTATCTACAGAACATAAGCTGTCGTTCGATGTGTGATTCATTGCCATACCCTTTTCTGTTCCGAAGCTATTGTAACTTAAGCATAATATTTTGCACCCTATTTTCTACTCTAATTCCCAGCTTTGGACAACATAATTGTATTTTTCTAATTATTGTACGTTGTGGCCGGACTAGTCATCTGTTTATTCATGTACTCTTTTACACTAATCTGAAATCGGGAAGAGATCGAGTGGTGTTCCATTTGTCTTGTCTTCTCTCACTCGCGTGCTTGTCAACCAATCAGGTGATAGAATAGTTTTCTTCTCTCTACCCCACTTCGAACTCATGTGTATTAGCCTCAAGTTTAAGCCGGTCAGCTTATCGCGCCAAGGTCTTAATCTGGATGAAATAAGTATCCTCAGCACCAAAAGTGAGTAGACAGACTCAAGGACATAACATTGTCAGCAATTGATTTTTGTTGTCAGTAACATGATTAAATTGAACATTCACTTTGATGGTCTAATAATACAATGTAACTTGTTTCGTTCTAACAGATATATTTCCTAAATGATGTACTACTTCACACTGTACTACACTTAAAAGTGTATTACGAAAATATCTCTCATCGATGGAGATTCTTATGGGCCCTGAATTAGAAACGATCATATGTTACTTAAAAGATTACTCTATTACGCCTGTTACCCCTCGTCGAGAAGCACTCTCCATTCAACCCTGTCCTGGGCAATCTTTTTCAAGTTTGCTTCCGATTCCCGACTCGGTGTGCTCTTTGGCCTTCCTCTTTTCCGTTCCTCTTCAGGATTCCAAGTTAGCGCACCCAAGAGATAGTCTTCCGAAACAAAGAACTGAAGCACTCAACATCAAAGATTAGAGACTGTTCGTCAGTGATTATGTTTCTGGTTATGACGCTTAGATTTAACACCACACAACAAATAAACAAGGTCTACCTTCGTGTGTGAGTTGGTAATGAGCTAATTAAAATAGACTTAATGCGCTGATCAACTACAGAATCGATAAAATAAAATTTATATCATTCGCCAGGTACTTGGGTATGAGTCATAATTTAAGTGTAAAGGCTGCCGAACCTACGCTATTGCCCAAACCAATATATGCGGAGTGGGGTTCAAACCTAGGCCATAGTATCTGAAAATCATTTCTTCGAATATATTTGTAACTATTTGATTATGCAATAGTACTTAATTTATTATCATCTAACAAAATATTTGGTGAATAATTACCTGATACAAAGTAATCTACTCATATGATCAGAAAATACATTGTAAACTTGAGTTGTACATTAGATTCATTTTAGAAACTAAGATCATATCAACATACATAACGTTTCAGATCTTTACGGATAAAAGAGCGAAACATTGCTTATGGCTAGAATATGCAAGTTTATTGTCGAAACAATTATCTTCTGAATGGTGGATCCCCAGTTCAGCACAAATCCCAATAAATGAATGTGTACTTGGTAAATAACTTACATAAACTAATAAAAGTGCGTATAACAGTGAAATTTAACCATAACGATCGATAAAATGCCCTTGAGAAAACTTTCACAAATCAGGAAACAAGCTGATTTGTGCAACTTACCATGTTAAGTAAATTACAAATTATATAGCTTTTCGTCTACTGATGCATATTTTAAGATCACTTATCGGTTCTTTTGTCTTGAGGCCAAAAAAGAACATTCGAATAACTTCTAAACATCATCAATTACAAAGTTTTATATGTTTGTAAGAAGTATCCTAAACGACCTTATATGACTTCTAGGTTTCTTGGTGTCCATTGTCTTAGTGAATATATCATCTCAGAAGTATTCACTTTTACTCAAGCTGTTGTACTGTATATTATTCTTACACATCTATAAGAGCGGTTTCGGGATTCATTTCACACTGTTGAGTTGGCTTCTGAGAACTACAACGGAGCCTCCAGATGCCCTAAAGGGGCCGAGGAGTTTCCAGCCAATCAGGATATGATGGAGATTTCTAGAATATCAACGTGGCATGGTACTATTGGACAGTAGCATAATATGCCTTTGCGGATTGGCTGAATCGTAAAGATTTCACAAATGCTAATATCTATAAATACCCATGATTTTCTAAACATTTCGATTCTTACCAAATAAACACTTCTCCAACTTTTTTTTAAAAAAATGAGGTGTTATATCCCCATGAGAATAATAAATGGCATCAATTACTTCATTCACATGTCGATGTTCTTCAAGTAATAAACGTAAAAAATAGTTGCCAACACGTGGTTCTTCGATTAAACTTAGATAATTCACTTTAAATTCTCTATAATTCCATGAAACAAGACTTGCCTATCATAAAATCATTGAAAGTAGACAAACAAATAGAGAAAATGAATT